GGCGTCACCCCGCCGCTGGCTTGGAGGTTAACGAAGAGGCTCCTGTAGATTTCAGGACTTTCCAGCCGCTGTGGGGGTTTCCGTCACGGGCCCTTGCCGGCAGGTGACCTGGATAGGACGGCCACGGCTCGGTGGAGGAGGCCTGTGACACAGGCCCCTGGGGGCGACGGGGGCCTGGGGCCTGGCCTGCCTGCGCTGGGCCCCTGCCTTCGTGGCGGGAGCCTCCGAGAGGCGCCCCGGGCATGACAGCTCTGGGACAGTGGCGGCTCCAGCCCTGAGGCTTGGCGTCCTCACCTGGAGCGAGAGGTCAGGGCGGCCCTCCCTCCAGGTCACCATTGTACGGTCAGACACGTCAGTCCTGCCTCGCACCGCCTGGTCCCGACTGCGATTCCATCGCTGTGTCAGGTCAGCGTCGTTGCTGTGCCCGTTCTACAGGTGAGAAGGCCGCGGCCCACACGGCGAGGACCTGACCAGAATCATGCAGCCGCCGAAGGGCAGAGCCACGATTTGGACCTTGATGGACGGAAGGACAGACGGGCTCTAGATCTGTGCTCTTGGCGTGTGGGATGCCCCTGGTGGCCGGGTCACGTCACGTGTTAGCAGCCTGCAAAGAGGGGAACTGCTTCCCACGGGACGTGCCCAGTGTCAGGGAGGAGCGAGGCCCCAGCGGCAGGGCAGCAGCTGGCGGGGGCTCGGCCTTGGCCCCTCAGACAAGCCCGGACGCCGCAGCCTTCTCCCCTCCTCCAGTCCACGTTGCCCCTGAAGGGCCAGGTTCCCAGGGGACCCGAGCAGCAGCCGGGCCTCGGCTCCCGCGGCCTTGCCGGGCAGTCTGGCATCAGAAAAGGCTGTGGGTCTCCTGATGACATGTTACTGGGATTCTAGCATCCTCTGGCCACCAACTGGCTGGGTGACCCTCTCTGGGCCTCAGTGTCTCCATTGTAGAGAGGAAATTGCTTCCACTTGTTGAAGGTGGGGCTGTCATTCCAGGCAGGTGTCCGGGTGGGCAGAGGGAGCTCTGCGCACCATCAGGCTCGGCACCCTGCTTGCCACTGTGTGGACACAGTGCCCCTGCTCTTCCCTCCTGCCCACCTTGCCCCCAAACGGCCCCGCTGGCCAGGCCTAGGCTTCCTGGGTCTGGTGTCCCCTCTGAGTCCCTCTTGGACACCGCCGCGGGTGCTCCTCCTCACAAACACTCCCCGAGGTCCCAGACAGCATCGGTCTTCTGAGCGGACCAGGGGTGGTGTTGACAGAGCTGCCCACCTGCCCTGCAGACTGGCCACACGCCCGCCGTGGGCCCCTCCGCTCTTGGCAGTGTGGCCCCAGAACAGAGCCCCACCCGCTGCCTGCAGGGGGCGCTGCAGCCACCAAGGCCGACCTGCTGCGGTCTGAATGTTTGTGTCCCCCCAGATTAAAGTGTTGAAATTCTCCGCCCTAAGGTGACGGTGTCAGGACCTGGGGCCTCCGGGAGGTCACTAGGTCGCGAGGGCTCCGTCCTACACATGGGACCGGGGCCCTGGGAAAGAGGCCTTTCTGCCCCAGACACTGAGTCTGCCGGCGCCGTGACCCTGCACGCCCAGCTTCAGAACTGTGCGCAGTTTCTGTTGTTTATGAGTCCCCCAGTCTGAGGAATTTTGTCCCGGCAGCACAGCCACTGCGATGTCCCCACAGCAGGCGTCTGCCTTCCCTGACTGGCTGTAACGCCTTCGCTCGCCCGGCCCTCCTCCCTCCCAGTCTGGTGCTGACGGACTGACTGACCGCAGGCCCTACAGGAGCAGAGGGGGACTTGGGGGCGGGCTCTCGCCCAGCTGCTGGCGCACCTGCAGGGCCGCCAAGCCAGGTGCCCCAAGAGTTACCAGCAGTGCTGGGCATGGCAGGACGCCCACCTGGGACTGCCTGTCCCCCCCGCCCCAGGGCCCACCTGCTTTCTGTTTTCATCCCAAATGGGGTTGACAGCCTCTCCTTCACCAGGTACAAGCAGCAAAGAGCCTAAAGTTGGGAGGGAGCAGTGATAGCAGGGTGCTGACCCCCACGGGGCACAGAATGGCCCTGGGGACTGCAGGTCACATTTGGATAAACATGTTCTCCCGTCAGGTGAACAAGCCAGCTGGCTGTGGCCAGGCCGCTGCTGCAGTTACCAGGACGACCTTTCAGCCCGGGAGAAGCCCAGCTGATCAGTTTTCCCTTCTACACGTCTCTTTCCTTGCACCTTTGGTGTCAAATCTAAGGACTCTTTGCCTAGCCCTAGATCCTGAAGATTGTCTCCTGTTTTTTTTCTGAATGTTTTATAATTTTACGTTTACATTTAAATCTTTGTGATGCATTTTGAGTTAATCTTCATGCAAGGTGTGAGACCAGGTTGAGGCTCTCTCTC